GAGCAGGAACCGGTCTCCACATGGGATCTGAACCCTCGGCGGGAGCGCCGCTGCACTCCCAAGTGGCGCACTCTCCAGTGCGCCACCGGGCCGGCCCCCATAATTTTTAAAAATGGAAAAAGAGCAGCAAATACAGTCTTAACAAACAAGCATTTTCGTTTCCATCCACAACTGTTGCATATTACATCCTCCAAGAAATCCCCCAAGCTCTCGGGCCGGCACTGGCATGCAGTTTGGGATTACGATGCCCTCCCTGGAGCCGTGGCCTCCGTTTATGAAATGTGGCCCTGAACAGTGACTAGGTAGAGGAATTTATCCATATCCTGTTTACCCTAAACCTTTTATGTTTAGGCAGTGGTGAGAATCCTAAAGGCATGTATTTGGGTTTAAGTAATCCCTCTGCCCATTTCGGGAGCCTTCTAGGAGGATTATTTTTCAAAAAAACAACTGCAGAGAGGAGAGTTTCAGAAGCCCTTTCCCAATGGAACTATGATTATTTTCTTCTTCTTTTATAGAATCTCTGAATTTTAGTTAAGCACAGTGCAGGTCCCTGTTTCCTTATCCAAAATGCCAAAATCCAAATAGCCCCCCAAAATAAGGGTTGGTTTTGTTTTATTTTGTTCCTCCAGAACTCATTTGGAGGCAAAATGACCTGCACAGATGTGTGGCTATTTATAGCCTTTATTGATTCAATTTGGTGTGAATGTTCATATCTGCAGCAGAAATACTAATGCGTTTGATTATAGGGTGCTGCCTGGACCCCAGTGGGGGTGTTATGTAATTATGGGGCATATGCACCATGTTACCACTCTAAAATAAAATTAGAAACCAAAGCCTGAATTCCAAAACTGGTCTGGCCCCAGGGCTTTTAGATAAGGAACCATGGGCATGTATTACTTTTATGAAGAAGATAACATTTCATCTTACTTTAAAAACCAGACATCTGGGCCGGCCCAGTGGCGCACTGCTACAGTGTGCCGCTTGGGAGCGTGGCGGCGCTCCCGCCGAGGGTTCAGATCCCACATACAGACTGGTTCCCGCTCACTGGCTGAGCGAGGTGCGGGCGCAACACCGAGGGTTGCGATCCCGTTGCCGGTCCCGGTCCGGTACGGGCGTGACACTGAGGGTTGCGATCCGTTGCCGGTCACGAAGAAAGACAAAAAAAAAAAAAAAAAAAAAAAAAAAAAACAGACATCTGCCATGCAAGCATGGTGGACGCTCATCAGTGGGGACAGCCCTGCCCCCATGTCCCTGGTCACCTCTCTCTCCCAAGCTGTACTATGACCATTTTAAACCATTTCCACTCATTTGAACCCTCTTAGCTCCCCTCCCAGCACACCCATCCCTGGCAGATGATCTTACCTCCTGCTTTACAAGGATAACAGAAGCGACCAACACAGAAACTCCCTCAGACAACAGAGACAGACACCGAACGTACAAACCTGCCTGCAGCTGCACAGTCCTGTCCTCCCTCCCTCCTCTCAAACTAGCAGCCCCACCCCACTCACAGATCTCAGCCCTCCATCAGCTTTTACATATCATTAAGTCACTCCATTAAAAACAAAAACAAGACAACAAATAAAAAAGCCACACTTTTCATTGATTTCATGGCCCTCTCCTAATAATGCCCTTTACCCTCCCGTCCCAAGGCTAGCTTCTCCAAGGACTTGCTTTTCCACGTAGCCGCCTTTTCCTCCCCTCTGCTTCTCTCCTTTCCAAACTGCACCTGTCTTCTGGCCCCATGGCTCCCTGAGTAGGTCTGACCAAGCCCACCTGGGACCTCCTGGCTGTGTCTCCCTGGGGTGGCTGTCACTTGGCAGCACCGGCCCTTCCTCCTCCGTGGTGCAGCCTCTCTGGGTTTCCCTCCTGCCTGGGCTGCTGCTCCTCCTCCTGCTCCTCAGTAGGAGGCTCTTCCTTGGGCCTGCATTAAATGTTGGCCCCAGGCCTCACCTCTGTCCCTCAGTATCCACAGCCACAGCTTTCATTCCTACAGTACTTGCGACTCACAAATGCTATCTCAGCTCAGCACTCTCCTCTAAACTCCAACTCATCAGTCCCACTGCCTACTTGACATCTCCTCTTAAATGTCCTAAAGACACATTAAACTCAACCTTTCTAGAACTAATGTCTTCATCTTCCCCGCCCAACGCCACCGACCTGTTCCTCTTCCACTGTCCCTATCTCCACCCGCTCAGGTATGCAGGGCAGGAATATGGCGTCACCTTGGCCTCTCCCTCTCCAGCATCCCCCATCTCCAGTCCATCCCTAAGGTCTTCTTGGTTTTTCCTGCTAAAACGTGTCCACGTGCACCACTCCAATCCTGGGCAAGGCCACCCTCGCCTCCCACCTGGACCCCAGAAGGCGCTTCCTCACAGGTCTGCCAAAATCTACTCTTTTTTTTTGGAGATACACATCTGATTGTATCTCTCCTTCTTCAGACCCCTTGGCGGTTTCCCAGATTAAGTGCTCTCTTGGGATGAAGACAAGGATCCACCCAGCCTCACCTGTACCACCCTTCTATGTCCGCTGCCTCAGCCTCGCTGGCCTTTTCCACTTTCCTTTCCACACCGTCCTCTGTCCCACCTTGGGACCTCTGCCCACACTGTCCCCTCTGCCCCAGTGCTCTTCCCTGCCTGTTTAGCCTGGCTTTCATCTCCTTTCAGATGTATGCGGGAGGACCCCTTCCTCTGGAAAGCCTGCCCCGGCCTCCCAACATGCTCCAATCCTGCTGTCACAGGCTCTCTGAGCATTGGGTGTCTGGCCTTCACAGCCCTTGTCACATTTGCAACTTAGCCTCTGTTTGGGGGATCATTTGACTAATGGCCGTTACTCCAGCTAGAACATAACTCCACGAGAGCAGGGACCCTGCCTGCTTTTGCTCACGTAGTCTCCCCATCAGCTGGTGCCCGGGCTGGCCCACAGTAGGTGCTCGGGATTGATGGATGGTGGCTGCATGTCATAGCCACAGAGAGGCCATAACACGCTATGCCTGTTGAGTACACGGGGGTGGGGTGAGGAGAGGGCCACCTTCTCATGGATGACAAGGGGCTCTTAGCCCCTTAAAGGCCTGGATTCTGGGCTTTCTTAGTGGGGCAAAGATGGCTTTATCTATTTTGTGCGAGGTAGGGAACCTTAGCCTCCCCTGGAGGACAAGCACTTGCTGACCAGACAGTTCTTGTAGGTCTGCATTTGTGCACAGGCCCTGAGGCCCGAAGGCTCTACTGCCAGCCCCTCCTCTTCCTCCTCAGCATGGGGGTGCCTCCCTGGGCCTTACTGCTCCACCAGTCCTCCAAGCTTGCAGACACCCTCTCAGCTGGTGGAATAGCCCCAGGTATTCAGAGATGCTAAGGAAGCTGCTGAGATGGAGGGCATGTGGGCTTTTTATCCTGGATGTTAGAGCTGTGATGTTAGAGCTGGATGGACCCTAAAGTCTAACACCTCATTGTAGAGATGAGGAACAGAATTACCCACAGGCACACAGAAGGGGTGACCAGGCCAGGATCCGTGATCCACACAGGGCTTGTGACAGGAGATGGGAATGGTGGACGAGGAATAGGTTGGTGGGGTTGGGTGGGGAAGGTCAAGACATTAGTCCTAGAAAGGCTGAGTTTAATGTGTCTAGTGAATTTGAGTTTAGTGAATTCTCTGACTCCCTCCTGGCTGCCCTTGTCTGTCTGGGTGAGGTCGCTTAGGTCAGCAGGAAAGGTGGAAGAGGAAAGTGCTCTGCAGGGTGCAGGTGATGGGGAAACTGAGGCAGGGATGGTGCTAGGAGGGCACCATGGCTCAGCATCAGAAGATCTGTGTTTCAGTAACTCCTCTGCCCCAACTAACTACCTCTATTACTTTGAGCAAGTAATTTTGCCTTTGGGTTCTCAGTTTACCTTTCCGAAATGTGAATAATAGTCCCTGCCCTCTGCCCCCCAAAACCCTGTCCTGACTACGTAAGAGTCATTCTGTCAGGATTAAATGCTACCACGTGCGGGACATTACTTGTTGCTATACGTTTGGTCCTCACAGTCACTCTGAGAGGGAGATTCTATTTCCCATTTTCAGGTGAGAAAACTGAGACTCATAAAACAAGCACTGCCACGTAGCGAAGGCCTCACGGCTATTTACAGGTGGGAGTCAGGATGGAGACCTGGGTCTGTCTGATTCTACAGCTCTGGGCTGGGCCCAAGCCTTGGTCCCTGCCTTGAGAAACAATCAGGAAAACGAAAATGGATATGAAAAGGGCTTTGGAAATAGCCCCACGCCATCCGAACGCTGTTGCAGTTTGGGCTCCTGTCAGGTCTGAGGGCAGGCAGAGGCCTAGGCAGGGGCGGCCTCCCTCCAGGAGGTGTCTGGGTTCTGCGCTTCACGTTGCGGTAGTGGCAGTGGGGGTGTCCTCTGTGACCTTGAGCATGTAGATGTGTACGGAAGAACCTTGGGCCTCTTTTTCTGGGAGAGGGGAGATCAGGTAGGCAGGAGGGAAAAGAAGGTGTTTTGGCTTTTTTTCACAGTGTGAGGAGGAGGAGGTGTCAGAAAGACATCGTTGTCTCGGTCTGTTGTACTGTTGTGCAGGCTGTTCACTGCACGACTCTAGGAGGCACCATTCACACGATAGTCTAAGTAAACGGCACTCCCAGGGTTGTGCTCTACACAAACGTATGTGACGGCCTTGGCGATGTTCCTTAGTAGTAGTGCTCCACGGTAAGCAATGATTGCAGTTAAAATTAACTGAGATCTTACTGTGTAAGCCCTTAGCATGTATTTGATCTTACCTCAGCCTCACAACGATCCTCTGAAGTTGCTGCTCTTGTTATCGTGTTTTACCCAGGGGGAAACTGAGGAGTTAGGTGACTTGCCCAAGGCCACACAGCGAAGCTTCTTCCCACTGTGCCATGCTCCTTCTGAGCTCTGTCGAGGCTGAGGGAGGGGGTGTGGAGGGAAGCTGACTGCATGTGAAGGAAACCATCATCTCTGTGTCTCTTTTCTTCCCCTGCCATGGTCCTCCCCCATAGCTGGACAAGATGCTGGCCCCCCAGGTGTGGCGGGAGGCAGCCACACAGGTCTTCTTCGCCCTGGGGCTGGGCTTTGGTGGCGTCATCGCCTTCTCCAGCTACAACAAGCAGGACAACAACTGCCACTTCGATGCCGCCCTGGTGTCCTTCATCAACTTCTTCACTTCGGTGCTGGCCACACTTGTGGTGTTTGCTGTGCTGGGCTTCAAGGCCAACATCATGAATGAGAAGTGTGTAGTCGAGTAGGTGCCCTCTTTCCTTCTGTTCCTCCTTCTCCTTGTCTACCTTACCCAAGCATAAGCAGATGGGCCGTGCATGGAGAGAGGTCCCCTCCACTCCGGCTGAGGAACGGACATTGGAGGAGCATTCTCTGTCCCTACCCTGGGCCACAGGACAGGTTCAGAGATGTCTCTATCGATGGCCAGTGGGGTCCTGCCTGGGTGTCTGGCAGGTGCCTCCAGGATCTTGCCCACCACCCCACCCCTGCCTTCTTACCCTGACCTCTGCCCTTTGTGCTTCAGGAATGCAGAGAAAATCCTGGGGTACCTCAACACCAACATCCTGAGCCGGGACCTCATCCCACCTCACGTCAACTTCTCCCACTTGACCACCAAGGACTATGCAGAGATGTACAACGTCATCATGACCGTGAAGGAGGACCGCTTCTCAGCCCTGGGCCTCGATCCCTGCCTTCTGGAGGATGAGCTGGACAAGGTGCAGGGACAGGCTGCCCTTCCCAGGACAGGCAGGAACCCAGAGACAGGCCACGGCACAAGCCTTAGAAAGCCAATGGGGAGTCATTTGTTTACTTAATAGGCAAGGACCTACTATGTGTCCAGAGGGAGAAAGAGGGAGGAGAGGTATCAGTCAAAAAGCCCCTGCCCCAAGGTAGGCTTGAGTCTAGACGAGGAGACGAGGTAGGCACACAAATCCCACAAATCACAGTAAGTGATGGGACGACTTTCCTGTTTACCGAATGGACTTCCTGTGCACAAATCACTGTTACGTGGCAGCATAAGGGACCTCCCTCTTTGAAGTTCCATGAAACCCTGCCCCATTCTCATGGGTGTGGCCTGGTCCTCTGAATAAAATTAGGACTGTAGCAGTTTTTTCATTCAATACAACCTCAATAGCATCCAAACGACAAGAATTACACACCCACTCAGTTGGGGGGAACATGTTCCCTCACAATCCCTGGACGTTACAGGACAATGCATAAGTGATGGCAACAGGCAGTGGGTGGTCAGTTGCCCAATGAGCAGGGCCAAGCATCAAAGCAGTGGTTCTCTGCCTTGGCTACCCATTAGAGTCAGCTGGGGGCTTTATAAAACCTTGATGCCCTGCTTCACTCTGGAACAATCAAATCATTGTCCCTGTAGTAAGATGCAGGTGTCAGCATTTTTAAAGGCTCCAGTGTGCTTCCCCTGGGCAGCTGAGGCTGAGACTATTGCATTAAGATCTGGAGTTCAGAAGTTCAGAGCTGGGAGCCACCACAGTGTGGCTGTAGCAATCAGGGAAGTCGTCTTAGAGGCAGAGAGTCTTGAGCTGGACGTGTTTCTAAATGTGAGCATCTTCATCTCAACCACCAGGGTCCTGGTACAACCTGTAGATCCCAGGTCCCACAGGTGAACTCCTGAACTTGCTCCCTTCCCCCAGGGATTGTTATGCCCGCTAAAGTTTGAAACCCACTGGCCAAAGCCAACAGGATTTAGGTGGTGGTGAGGGTCCCTGTGAAAGAGGGCAGAGGTGAGGGAGCAAGAGGACCCCAGGGGTGGCCTCACGGGCCCTGTTCTCCACCCCACCCTCAGTCCGTGCAGGGCACAGGCCTGGCCTTCATCGCCTTCACCGAGGCTATGACGCACTTCCCTGCCTCCCCGTTCTGGTCCGTCATGTTCTTCCTGATGCTCATCAACCTGGGCCTGGGCAGCATGATCGGGACCATGGCAGGCATCACCACGCCCATCATCGACACCTTCAAGGTGCCCAAGGAGATGTTCACAGGTAACTCCTCACTGCAGCCCCCACCCAGTCCTGTTGGCTGTCCATGTGCACAGTGACCAGCTCTGACTTTAGAAAGACTGGGTTCTGGCTGGGTCATTCATGACCCCGTACCCAGAAGGCTCCACTCCACACCCAGGACACAGCTGGAGCCTGGCTGTGCTACGCAGAGATGATCACTCATGAGCCGGGAGGAGAAAGCTGTTTGGAAATCTGGCCAAACCTGAGCTAGGAGATAGGCCTCTTTCTTGGGTTCGCTTGCCCCATCCCTGAAGGCCTGCTGGATTTTCCTGGGCAGGAGCGTCCTCTCCCACCACTGGCCTTGCACCCTTTCCATCTCTGTCACGCCCAGTCCCGGGCTGTATCCACAGTTCCCTCTGTTGCTGCTGAGTTGATCTGGCTCCACACAAGGCTACCTCTCACCCGCATCCCCAGAGAGGAGTATCTTCTTGTTCTCAAATGGGGAAACTGAGGTGGGGAAAAAAGATTCTGGGAACAATCAGATGAGTCATTTAAATTAAATGCAGCAATTAAGTGGGGCACCTGCTGTGGGCCAGGCATTGTGCTGGGACGGGGGGCCATGGGAGAAGAAATGAGACATAATGCCTTCCTCAAGATGCTCCCCATCTAGTGGAGGGGGCCCAAAACCTCAGCATCTGGATCCCTTGTGCAGGGTTGGGCCTGCTGGAGGGTGAGCTGCAGGTCTATTGTGGGGGAGGGTTGTCCTGAAGACTCCTAGGGCCCTCCCACCCTGTACCTTTGCCCCCACACCGGCCTCCCGGCTCTCTGTAGTGGGCTGCTGTGTCTTTGCATTCTTCGTGGGGCTGTTGTTCGTCCAGCGCTCTGGAAACTACTTTGTCACCATGTTTGATGACTACTCAGCCACCCTGCCGCTTACTGTCATCGTCATCCTTGAGAACATCGCTGTGGCCTGGATCTATGGAACGAAGAAGTAAGGGGACATGAAGGAGAGGTGGGGAAGGGGTAGGGGTTTGTCTTATCACGACTCCCTGAAGAGTCCTGTGTTCCCAGAGGTGCTTGCAAATGGGGCAGGAGATTGTTGGGGCAGAGTGACAGAGCTGACAGTGCTCTTGCAGGTTATATAGGGAAACTGACATGCAGAGAGAGGACATGGCTGCTCAAGGCCTTTTGGCTGGTGAGAGGCAGACTCAGGAGTCCTGGGTTCAGGTCCTGATATCATCTTAAACTGCCTTAAATTTCCATAGCACCTTTTCTGGGTACCAGCTCTCTTCAGAATTCTGTTAAGCTTGTTAAGCACTTAGTGGGTATACAAGAGGCCCCCGTCCTCAAAGAACTTATAGATGTCAGCAGCCCAATTCACAATTTTAAGGTAATCTAGATAGGGGCATGAGATGAAGTGTAGTTTTGGCCCCAAGTTTGGGGTCTCCCAGGGTAAGAGGATTCAGCAATAGGAAACACTGGGTCTCATGGCCTGAGCCTAGGGCAGACCTACACTTGCCATCAACTTCTAGCTGTTAGTACTACTGTGGTTGCTTGCATTTATAATAGGAAGAAATGCCAGATTTCACTTAGGTGTTAAATGATGATTTTCTTAAATCTATTCAAGTGCACAGCCTGCATGCATCCCAGGATTCTACCCACAGACCCCGTGGTTAGAAACCCCAGAGTCAGGACAGCCTTCTGCCTTTGGAAACAAGGGACATGCACTTCCACATCTCCTCTGGCAGGGGGCCCTGGGGCCAGGCCAGTGTGAGGGGCTGGGCGCCCCATGAGCAGAGAAGCCCGCTAGGGCCTGTCTGCCTCCTGAGGCGTGTCTGATGGGCTGTATCACATCCTTGGGTGGGGTGTGACTTGATGCAGTCAAGGAGGCTGAAGGACAGCAAAGCCTTCCCAGAGGCCAGCTGGGCCACACACTGCAAGCATTGAATGTGAAGAGTAGAAGAGCCCAGGAGGGAGGGATTGGTCAGTGAAGGCTTCCTGGAGGAGGTGGCTGTGGCGGGAGATGCAGTGGTGCAGGTGCCAACTGCTGGCCCCGCTGCTTTGCCTGGCAGGTTCATGCAGGAGCTGACAGAGATGCTGGGCTTCCGACCCTACCGCTTCTATTTCTACATGTGGAAGTTCGTGTCCCCGCTGTGCATGGCTGTGCTCACCACAGCCAGCATCATCCAGCTGGGGGTCACACCCCCAGGCTACAGCGCCTGGATCAAGGAGGAGGTGAGGGGTGGGGTCCCCGAAACCCCAGGGACATTTGCATCTTCCCAGGCCTTTAATGCAACAGGTGATAGGAATAAACTTTCGTAGGGCAGCTACTATGTGCCAGGCCCTGCCAGCCGCTTTGTGCACCTTACCTGTAATTTTTACAACCACCCAAAAAGAGAGGTGGCATTATCCCTAGAGCACAAATGGGGAAACTGAGGCTCAGAAAGATTATTGCCTTGTCCAGTCTTTCTAACACTTATTCTTTCTCCATGTTTGTGGGGAGGGATTACCCATCCAATTTACAGGTGTAGAAACTGAAACTCCTAGGCCGGCCCGTGGCTCACTCGGTAGAGTGCGGCGCTGATAACACCAAGGCCCCGGGTTCGGATCCCATATAGGGATGGCCGGTTTGCTCACTGGCTGAGCGTGGTGCTGACAACACCAGGCCAAGGGTTGAGATCCCCTTACCGGTCATCCTTAAAAAAAAAAAAAGAAAAGAAACCGAAACTCCTTAACCAAGGTGACCAGCTAAACTCAAGTAGCAACACCTGATGACTGCCATCTCTGCTGGTGCCTGGCCAGGATGGTGGGAGTGGAAGGCAGTGGGCGAGGGCAGGAGGAGGTGGTCCAAGAGGGCCTGGGAGGGTGAGGGCTGTCACGGTGTCGGCAACAGCCCCCATGCTGCCCACCCCAGGCTGCTGAGCGCTACCTGTACTTCCCCAACTGGGCCATGGCACTCCTGATCACCCTCATCGTCGTGGCGACCCTGCCTATGCCTGTGGTGTTCGTCCTGCGGCACTTCCACCTGCTCTCTGATGGCTCCAACACCCTCTCCGTGTCCTACAAGAAGGGCCGCATGATGAAGGACATCTCCAACCTGGAGGAGAACGACGAGACACGCTTCATCCTCAGCAAGGTGCCCAGTGAGGCGCCCTCCCCGATGCCCACACACCGCTCCTATCTGGGGCCCGGCAGCACATCGCCCCTGGAGACCAGTGGCAACCCCAACGTACACTATGGGAGTGGTTACCTCCTGGCCGGCACCCCTGAGTCAGAGCTGTGACCACGGTCCCCACCCTGCCCGCCTCTCCCTCCATGCCCAACCTGCCCACTTGTCCAGGCCTGCCTCTGCCTCCACAGTGGCCACGAGGCTCAGGCCAGGCCCTTTGTCCAAGGAGGGAGGGTCTGCCATGCCTCACTCCACACCTCAGCCCCAGCAGACTCTGCTCCCTAGCCCTGAGCAGGGGGCCAGGAGCAGCTGCATCCCCCAGTCCAGGCCCCTGACCCATCTAACTCTCTGAGAGCCGCTCACAAAATTGCAGCCATGTAACTGGAACAATTCAGAATTCCTGATTCCCAGTACAAGAGATTCTCCCAGTGGCCACTTTAGGAGGCACTCTACCCTTCCTCTCTCCCTGTAACCTGCCACCTGCAGGTCTTAGGGGCCCCCTGCACTGCCAGGTGGTGGTGAGAAGCACTGGGGCCAGGGGAATGGGGAGGTGGACTTTGACCCAATCTGCCACCAGAACAGAACTTTCCATCCTGTCCAGCCTAGAGTGGGCTGCTCGTGGGCCATGAGGCTACCTGACTGAAGGCTGGGGATGGGAACAGATGTGCCAGGACCCAGGGCTCAGACTTGGCAGGGAGTGTGCAGAAGCCTCCAAGTTCTGTTTTGTGGGGTACGTGGCGCCTCAGCCTGAGCACAAACCTTAGCAGCGGGGTGTGAAGGAGATCCTCCTCCCCAGGCTCTGGCTGGAATCTTCGGATGTCCTTGCCCCTGCCTGGGGTGGGAGGAGTGTGCTTCTGCATCCTGCCCGGGAGGGCAGTGACTGGGCCCAGAACCCTTCCCCACCTCGATTAGAGCCTAGCTATCTTCCTGTCCCCATTCCCCCGACTGGAGCCCAGAGTGTGGCCCCTGCCTCTTTCCTAGAAAGAAGGGGACAGTGCAAGGAGAGGCTTCTAGAGCACAACTTGATGGTTCTCAGCACAATTTAGATGGTTTGGAGCACAATTGTGAACCACACTCCTCCTCCCCTCACCTGGGCCTAATTTTCTCTCTAGAGGCAGCTTCTCCCCTAGAACAGGGGTCCCTGGAGTTCAGGGGCTCATTTCCAGGAAGCCTGGCTCCTGGGCAAAGACAGATAATCTCACTGCCCCTTCGAGCTGCCACTCACTCTCCTTGTTGCACAAGCACAGCCACCCAGTATGCGCATCATGTGCAGACACATTGGAAACCTTTCCCAAGTGTCCCCGGGCCACAGCAGGCAGGCTGCCTGTCCTGTGGCCTAGTGCCTGCAGGAGGCTGCCGCTGACAGCAGCATCCCCACCCACCCTTACCTTCAGGACCTCCCCAGGAGAAGGTCTGCCCTCAGAGTGCAGTCTGGGAGGATTCACAACCTCTCAGAGAATAAATGTCCCCAGAGAAATGGATGGATGGATGGATGGATGGGTGGATGGGTGGATGGGTGGATGGATGGGTGGATGGATGGATGGGTGGATGGATGGGTGGGTGGATGGATGGATGGATGGATGGATGGATGGATGGATGGATGGATGGATGGGTGGGTGGGTGGATGGATGGGTGGGTGGATGGATGGATGGATGGGTGGATGGATGGATGGATGGGTGGGTGGATGGATGGATGGATGGATGGGTGGATGGATGGATGGATGGTAGGTAAGAAAACTGGTTCCATCTTTGAAGCTCTGGTGGACAGGGCAGGAGCAGGCTACAGTGTGAGGCCTGGGCACCTTCATGGAGGGTCCCAATCACTCTCGTGAGTCAGACTGCTCTCAGCAGTGGGGGGGACAGGCTAGGCCTGGGGTCCCCTTCTTAACTCTTAGCCCCTTGTTCCCCTACCCTCAGTCTGGGGGTGTCCATCTTTCCACCCTGTTATCTCCCTTCTTGTCCCTCTTGCACACCTCCCGTTCAAGCCCGCTTGTCCCCACCTGTCCTTCCTGAGTGTTTGAAGGGAGGAGACCCACATCTCCCCAAAGAGATGAGCTTTGGGGGCCATAACATCCCACAATAGGCTCCCCCACCTGACAACACCTCCTACCTGGCCCCATGCCTAATCCCAAGCAGAATTAGCAACAGGAACGCAAGGCCCCAGGAGACACTCCACTATATATAGTCTCCTATATATTCTATTTCTATTGTATATTCGATCTGTACATGTGGGTGTAAATGCTGTTAAATGACAAACCCAATATTATACTGTGGCTGGTGGACTATTTTCATCCTCAGTGCTGTACAGATCTATTTTCATTGTATATTTGATATATTTTTAATTTTGTAGCGTGTGGCTGGGCCCGGCCCCAGCCTGCGAGCCTGCGGGCGGGGACTAAGCTGGGCCGTCTGTTTGCTCGTCGTGGGCTCTGTAGTGATTGTCGTAACCTTTTGTTGTAGGCTGGGCCTGATCCGCTTGTGTCTTTGCTGTGTGTTAGACATAGGGCCCAGAGCTTGGGTGTGCGTGTACGTGTGTGGTGTGTGCACATACGTGGGTGTGGTTGTGTGTAGGGTGCTGATGTGTGACTCTGTGTTCACCACCTTCCTGAAGATCTCGCTGCCCTCCACCTGCCTCTTCCCACTCCTCTCAGCTCTACTGGGTGAGGCTTCAGGGCAGGGTCCCTCGGGAAGCCCCCTGCTAGTGGGAAAGGCATATGCTCCTTACTGGTGACTCGCTGCCTTCGCACTGCTGAGTTTGCCAGAAATAGGGAAGGAGGACCTTGGGGAAATAAAATCCCCCAAATTTATTTTTCAGTCAACCTCTTGCTGTTCCCACTCGAATCACAAGCTTTTCTTCTGCAGGAAAAGTACTGGGCAGGTAGGGTCTTCTGATGAGCTAAGATCCAGCCCCAGAATCCTGGAAGAGTAGGAGAGAGGCAGGCCCCCAAGTGCCTGCACAGGGTCTCCACCCCGACTGGCTCTGGTGCTGTCCATGCAGTGCCCACCAGGAGGCAGAGGGGACTCCAGGGCTGTGAGTTGCTGAGTTGGGGGCAGGGCAAGGGTGTGCCTGAGAGTCCCCTGGTCCCCTGCCCCGCCTGCCCTCCAGCCCCAATCACCAGCGTCTTGCTCGGGGAGTCCTCTGCCCTCTCCACTGAAGCAACATGAAGCTCGAGGCTCAGATGGGGGTTGGACAGATGGGGCACACAGTGCCAGTGAGGTTGGCCTCTGCCCTCCAGCAATAAATCTGCAGGGACTTCTGCTTTTCTAGTGCCAGGAGAAGCCCTCCTGAGTCAGCCTGCGGAGGCCATGGCTGGAGACGAAGCCATGGTCCTGGGCCCTGCGGAGGCCTGCAGGATTACCAGGCAGGGGGCTGCCCTTCTGCCCTTCCTCACAGCCATTCCCCCACCCTGAGGACTCCCCACTGTGAAAAAGAGAAGCAAGACTGAACAGGCTAGATGCACGTGATTCCCTCAGCATCCTTGGGTCTTCTGCTAGGCCCTGAAATATGGAGTCTGCTGCCCCTTCACTGGGGTGCAGTGGCTGGGCCTGGGGGAGGATAGCCCAGAGTCCGTTCTCATCAAAAGCTCTGCTTTGCACAGGCACAAGCACACACACCAGGCAGTCACTTTGGTTTGTGGCACAAGTTCAGAACAATTCAAGTCCATGAGTCCCACAGCTGGTCAGAGACCTGGGTCAGGACCACTCAGCCAAGGGGAGGGGATGAGGCACTGTCACCCCAGAGCAGAGCCCCTCTTTCCTCTTCCCCCCATCATTGTGTACAATAAAGTATCTGTTCATACCAAACCCCTCTTTCCTTTCCTACTGGCTCTTGGGATCAGGGAGAGGGGATGGGGGACTCCGAGGATGCTGGGGGAAGCTTTAGGGTAACAGCTGGGACTGGGATGGGTTGGACAGGACTGCTGGGGGAGTTATGGGAGCTGGCTGGCTGGCTGAGGAGTCTGGGGAGGGACATATATGTACTCCCGTTAGAATTGTCCTAGGTATTAACAATGTACACACTTGTGGCAGGCCTTATCGGGTTGCAACTACTCCACACATCTAATCTCCTGTGATCTTAGCAACAATTCTCTGAGGGAGATTCTTTGTGTCTAGATTTTTCCAGGTGAGGAAAATGAGGCTCCATCTGATGCAAGGGTGGTGTTTGGTGTCCCCTTACAGGGCCCTGCAGGGGAGATTCCTGCCCTGCCTGACACCAGGAAGAGCTTTACCTGTCAGCTTGCTAAGGGTAGGATGCATGGCAGCCCTCTCAGGGAAAGGCGGGGGGCTGAGAAGGTGCCAGTGTCCAGAGGTCTGAGAATGAGAAGGGGGAAGGTAGGGGACTAGAGGGAAGTGGGGAGGTGGGTTCTCCTGGAACAAGCCTGTTCTAAGTTCTAAGAGCTGCCCCTCACTTCAAGGTAGCTATCTCTCGGAGGCCGGCCCGTGGCTCACTTGGGAGAGTGTGGTGCTGACAACACCAAGGCCACGAGTTCGGATCCCATATAGGGATGGCCAGTTAGCTCACTTGGGAGAGCGTGGTGCTGACAACACCAAGGCCACGAGTTCGGATCCCATATAGGGATGGCCAGTTAGCTCACTTGGGAGAGCGTGGTGCTGACAACACCAAGGCCACGAGTTCGGATCCCATATAGGGATGGCCAGTTAGCTCACTTGGGAGAGCGTGGTGCTGACAACACCAAGGCCACGAGTTCGGATCCCATATAGGGATGGCCAGTTAGCTCACTTGGGAGAGCGTGGTGCTGACAACACCAAGTCAAGGGTTAAGATCCCCTTACCGGTCATCTTTAAAAAAAAAAAAAAAAGCTGACAAGGTAGCTATCTCTCTTGCAAACTTCAGTAGAAGATAAAGATGAACTATGGGATCTGACATCACCTATTTTCTCAAATTTCAATCCCAAGTATTTATTGATCACCCACTGAATGCTCAGCACCATGGGGAAGGGAATGAGCTGGTGGCAGGGGACGCTCTTCCTCCTGTCTCACCCTCAAGGAGCACAGACATTGGAAGAAGCAAGAAGTCTGACTCCTGCGGAAGGCCTCACTCCCACCCCACCCCACCCCAGTCTGGAAAGATGCTGCTTGATCGCAGACAAACTCGGCCAAGGTCCCCAAAGGAACCTATTTTCTTCTGCCATAGGGAGAAAAGTGCTGTTCCAGGAACAGCCACCAGATGGCAGAAAAACATTTCTCTCCAGGTCTTGGTCCATTTACCCTTCTCTCCCACTTCTCCTCCTCTCCCACTTATTCCTTTGTGGTTTAGTTTATTCATTGAACAAACATTTATTAGGCACCCATTGTGGACAGGCCCCATGCCAGCTATAGATACATAAAGATAAGCAAATCAGCCCCTACTGTCCTGAGTTTTTCATAGGAAGGATACCCACCTGCAACTCCAAATCTCCCCACCTATCTCTCAGAGGAATGTCTTGGTGCTGGAAAAGTCACTCCTTGCAAAGTCATACAATCCTTTGGCTGCAAGTAATGTTTTTGGTTAAAATGCCAATCCTCTTGCCAGGAGGGGGCACATAGACCCCCTAAGAAGCAGTATAACAAGGGCTTCAGTGCAAGAGAGCTCTGGAGTGAGACTTCCCAAGTTCAAGTTCAAATGCCAGCTTTGCCTTGGGCTGCCTGGAAGACCTGGGGCAAGTTATCTAATCCCTCTGAGCTTAAATTTCCTACTCTGTAAAATAGAAATAATGAATAGATTGAATGAGATAAGGTTTGGTTTTCTATTACTGTGTTCCAAGCTACCCCGAATCTTTATGGCTTAAAACAACTACTTTATTATGTATGAGAATACTCAAAAAAGTTCATGGAAAAATAGAATTCAAAGGTAATACAAATATTTTCATTAACTTTGAAGTACCCTTGTATATCTCATGGTTTTGTGGGTGAGGAATTCAGGCAGGGCTTGTCTGAGCAATCATTCTGGTGGCAACTGAGGTCACTCAGTGGTATGCAACTGGCAAATGAGCTGATCTTGGGGGTCCAAGGCAGCCCCCACATTCATTCAAATGTCTGGCCCCTCAGTGAGAATGGCTGGACGACTGGGTTCAGCTGTGACTATCAGCCAGAATAAGCATCTGCAATTGGCCTCTCCAGCATATGTCATCTCTGGTGGCCAGACTTCTTACCTGATGGCTCAGGGTGTCAGAAAGAACATTTCAAGAGACAGGAGGTGGATGCTGCCAGTTTCTTAAGGTATGGGCCTGGAAAATAGCACAGCATCACCTCCATCCTATTCTATGAGTCACAGCATCTGCCCAGAATTAAGGACAGGGCACACAGACCCTACCAGTCAACGTGGGTGGGTGGACGTGGAGAATTTGTGGCTGCCCATGTAATGGGCTTATTCTAG